TAATGACATCCAATAGTAGACGTGTTTATTGTTGTGTTTATGGTACTTCGAAAAACAGTGCCTCAAATTCTGAATTGTTGAGCATTTCATTTCCATTTAATTTATACTCCCTCGTTCGAGATATCAATCCGCAGTGCTGGTATAAAAATATCAATACCTAAATACCACATTTGACAAAGATTATTCCAACACAACGAGAGAATACTGTGATTATATCAACGACTCCATTTTGCTTTGACCCACAGGCCTTCCGCTTACTATTTTAACTATTATAATACCTTTTTTTATAATATCAAGTGACGGAACGAAGAAGTCGTGCTCATCATGGTAAGATACACGCTTGTCCATAACAATATCAATACCACTCAGACTTTAAATCGCAAAGATCTGAGGGGCACTACCACTGCGCCCGTCACCCTGAGACATACATTGGCAAGTCCCATGTGCTTGTAACTTCACCAGCACCCTTGCCCTTCAAAACCGGAACATGCAAACAAACCGGTTGAAGTAGGTAAGGTGGCAGTACGTCTCTGGACAACCTCTTTTACAAGGAACTCTACAGCTACTAAAAAGAAAAACAAATTTAAAAAAATACATTCGAGCTTATTCATGTTATGTTATGTATCATATAACCATGCAGCTTAGTCTTTTTTCATATTTTTTAAATTTATGTATGGTAACCATAGCAACTATTTTATTAATATTATCCCTACTCTAGTCTTTGTAGTTAGAACACTCTGTTACTTATTAATCTATGATAATGAAATGTTGTGTCTTCTCCGCACTTCAGTGAAACACAGCATGTGTATGAAACACCGCGTCTAGTACGCAAGTACGTAAATATCGTTGGACAATACCTTTATTTATTAAAATCATGTTTACAATCTAAAACACTTCGTAGGGTTGTCACATTATTATTTTAGTTGTACAATGTGACAACCCTATGAAGTGTAGACATTGACGCGACAAATAATAATAAAAACGCGCACACTCAGCATAGCTTGGGAGTTACACTGCTTATCTTATTAAACTATGGTATCAATTTAATGAGAGCCATTGCTCTCCTGACCAATTCAGGTATTTTTTAAAAGGAATATCGTTTTTAGGTTAATTAAATTTCACAGGTCCCCAAAGAGTGACGACAAAGAACTAAAAATAAATACCACGAATTGGTTAACTCCGTAAAATACTTTCATCGCTTATTATTCGAAGCTCACTTTCATTAACTGACAATTTAAAGTCAAATTAAGCCGAGCCAAGACTACGATAGCAAAACGTTGCAACTCGACAATTGAAGTACAGTTTATTTTGGCGAAACATAACGTCGGTGGGGTGTATTAAAATTCCGTTTGTTTGTAGGAAGGGCTCCTCTAATGAGATAATAACATTCCCCGCACAGGTGGGTTTCGACCTACTGAATATTCTGCCTACGGGAAAGCGAAGGTACACGTTGTGTTGTATTTAAAAGTTAAAATATTAATGGCTGTTATTTCGAAAGCAGCTAATTAGGTTACGCGAGAGAAATTCAAATAAGACTATTTACTTTACGAAAATGTTTAGATAAGTACAGTCCTGCGTTAATACATATGAACACACGCTGCGAAATTACAATCAAACAGCCTCCGTAAACGTTTTATTGAAGGAAGAAATTTAATATTCTTTATTGTACGTTAATATTAACAATGCCAACACAGAAGATCGTGTACGATTGCAATAAAACTTGACAAATAGATGTAATTCCAAGAATAATTTTCATACGTACTTTTTTTGCTATACGTACTTTTATTACAAGCGACGGTCAAAATCACCGTTAGTTTTGACTTTGATTTATTGTTGAAATCGCTTACATCACAACATGTAACGTTTTCCGTCAAAATTATTACTTACAATCATTGACTTACAATTATATGGACGTCGGGTCCGCGCTAAAAAGTGTCCGAACTTATAGGGCGTTAAAATCGTATACGTCATTCACGCTCTAGTCTTCGTTTGTACGACTGACAGCGAAGCAAGCAAAATTAGACAGTACTGCGATGACATTACAATTTAAATTCAATGTTTTAGCCTTTTCATATTCCTTTTTATTTTTTTATTATTTGACTTGAATGTATATCACACACTCACACATATCACAGCACTTGTCTTGAGTTTCAAAAAAAACTAAAGTGTCAAATAAAAACAAAACAAAAATCGAAACGACGAAAAAACGGAAACGAAACAAAATGATTTTAATGGAAACACATTGACTTACAATTATATGGACTTGTAATTTGTAAGGCGTTAAAATCGTATACAGAGCGTCAAACTCCGCTTTAGTCTTCATTTGTTCGACTGACAGCGCGATACTGCGATGACATTACATTACAATTCAACGTTTTGGGTTTTTCATATTCCTTGACATGTCACTACGTTTAAATAGGTTGACTTGGGACATTTTTTTCGTGGTTTTTGTATTAGACCCGTCGTCCATTTATTTGTAAGTCAATGGTTACAATCAAAAAGGTGACAGGCAAATGATGATAGCTTTGAACCTCTATATATATAAACTCTACATATTAAGTACCACAAACCATATTCAAGTGCTATCCCCGAGGGAAGTTGTATTAAATTGCGCAGTATATTCGAGTGTCCTGTCTTCGCGGAGACTGCACCTGTGCCTCGCAGACTTACGGGCTACGTGCCGTTGCTACCCAACGGCTTAGTCCGGGAAGATACCACTTTAATGCTAAATTTATTTGGCGTTGGCATGGTAATAACTATTGTCGATATACGAGTTCTTCACTATTACGGAATGAATAAATGAATCAATCAAAATATTTTACGGCACATTTAATATTCGTAGCGAAATTCGAAATTAGTTTTCGTATTAAGTATTCAACAATTCAAAATATTGAGTTGTCTTTCATAATATTAACTGTATGGAATTTTAAAGCAATTGATTTAATATAATTACCAAATTAATAATTAGAAGATAACTATGAGAGCTCATTGGGAGAGCGGCTGGTTCTTAATTGTGAGGTGGACGAGTCGAATCTCCGTGGCGGCATGTACAGTCAACAGCACATAAAGCTATTCACTTTTGTTAGATTAACTATAATAATAATAATTCGTTATTTCCATAAAAACATGATATAACAGGCGATATAGGAAAAACAGTGAAAGTTTGGTTCACATAATATTAAACAGCATGTAAATATTTCTAAAATATTAATCTTTTTGTACAATAATAAGAATACCACAGTTTAGAATTTTACAAATTAAATTAGCCAAGAATGACAAAAAGTATACTACATCGTTTCATCTTGTACATCTTATAGTGTTCTTAAAAATTTCGTTTATGCCCATTGACTTACAATTATATGGACGTCGGGTCCGCGCTAAAAAGTGTCCGCACTTGTAAGGCGCTAAAATCGTATACAGAGCGCGACACTCCGCTTTAGTCTTCATTTGTTCTACGGACAGCGCGATACTGCGATGACATAACAATTTAAATTTCGAATAGGTTGACTTGGGACATTTTTTTCGTGGTTTTTGTATTAGACCCGTCGTCCATTTAGTTGTAAGTCAATGTTTATGCCATAAAAACCATTTTCAATTAACCATTTATCAAAATTCGTTGTAAATATCAAGTCCTAATACATTTTCTAACAATTTTTCGTATTTTTTAGCTATTATAAGATAAAAAATACGAACTCCTAAAACGTTTTATTTTTATAATATAGTACTTATGCTCAACCCCTGTTAACCGTTTCGTAAAGTAATATATAAAATAACACAAACTGTATTCATTTACCCAGTTGCACCTATCATAACTTTAAGAAAAGCGCACCTTCTATCAGTATCGACAACATACCTATTAGAACATCATTCGTAGTAGAGTCCACTGATGCACTCTAGGACATTGAACTTGACATTTAAATTAGAAAATCAAGTTAATGCCATTTCTGATTTTTTTGAACGATCCAATGTCCAAAAGGCCAAATTAAAAATTATACGTATCGTTTGATATAGTTTATTAAGGCGAAATGGCATCGTGGTTGCGTAGGGTTTAAAACGTGTGAGGTAAACGGTGAGAGGTGAGCTATTAAATTAATTGCACGATGTTTAAACATATTATACTTTTTAGAAATGAAATACACTCGTTTACTGTAAAATAAGATTATAGTTTCCTATCATATTTCTTGCGAAACACGGAAGAGAAAATTTTATAGAAATATCTCTAATAACAGTCGAATGAAAAATTAAAATCTCGCGGAATTTTGTGTTTTTTTTATATGGACCGAAGTTTATTCATGTTTCGGGGCACATAGCTCGCTACCGCCTCTTCTTCTTCTGTCTATTTTCAGCTGTTTCTATTTCAATATTACTTAAAGAAATAAGTTGAATTCGTATTTTTTAACGTTGAAGATCTGATTTTTCGGGTGATCGAAAAGCTTACCAAATCCATGGTAGCCCAATTGTTTAAACCGACCCCGGACCGATATCCTGTCAGGCATATCAATGACTTTGCCAATAGCCTCGCTGGTGCTACTGTTTTTAGCACTATAGACCTTGTCAAGGCATACCATCAGATTTCCGTTTTTAAGGACGACATTTCGAAGACAGCCATCGTTACCCCGTTTGGCCTCTTCGAATTTCCTTAACCTTAGGTTTACGAAACGCTGGTCAAACGTTACAACGTTTTATCGATGAGGTCACACGGGGTCTCGATTTCTGTTTTCCGTACGTAGACGACGTCTTAGTATTCTCTCGGGATGCTACTCACAAGGATCATTTGCGCCTTCTTTTCGAGCGTTTCCAGAAATGCGGAGTGGTCATAAACTCCTCGAAATGCGTTCTTGGTGCCAGCGAGATTATTTTTTTAGACAATTTGATCAATGCCCAGGGCACTCGCCCTCCCAAAGACAGGGTTCAACATCTGATGGATTTTCCACCACCTGAAACCGTTCAGGGCATGAGGCGATTATCGCTGATTTATCTCTCACGCCGCTCAATTCCAGGCGCCGTTAATCGATGCTCTTGTCTTTACCAACAGCAAGGGAGCCAAACCCTTTCCTTGGTCTCCGGAATTGCTCGAGAAATTTGAGGCGTGTAAGAAGAGCTTAGCTGATGCGACTTTGATACAACATCCTGTTAGCGATGCCCCGCTAGGTCTTTTTGCTGATGCCTCCAGCGTACATATCGGCTCTTGCTTGCAGCAACAAATTGGTGGATAATGGTTTCCACTTGCATTCTTTAGCAAGAAGCTGACCCCTCAGCAGTCTCAGTGGCTGTGTGACTGTAGAGAACTCTTGGCGGTGTACGAAAGCGTACAGCACTTCCGTTACATCCCCGAGGTCCAGCACGCCACTATTTTTACAGACCACAAACCTTGTTGTTCGCCTTCTTACAGCGCCGAGAGAAGCTCGCTCCGGCACAACTCAACCAGTTGTCTTTTATAAGTCAGTTTACGACTGACATAAAACACATCAAAGGCGAAGACAACACCGTGGCTGAAGCCATATCTCGAATTAACGCAATCTCCCTGGAGCAGGAATACGAGGATCTTGCCAAGTCACAAAAGCCGGACGAAGAACTCCTAAGACTTTTGGAGAATAATTCTTCCAGCCTCCAACTTACCAAAGTTGTAATCCCTGGCACCGATCTCTCTTTAATCTGTGATCTTTCAACAAGCAAGCCTCAACCCTATGTCACTCCCGAATTTCGCCGAGCCATTTTCAATAAACTTCATAATTTGAGCCATCCCGAATCTCGTGCAACAACCCGCCTCGTAGCTGATCGGTACGTCTGGCCCTCCATAAATAAAGACTATCGAAGTTGGTCTCGAGTTTGCCAAGCTTGTCAGCGCAGCAAAGTAACTCGTCATAACTCCGCTCCCTTAGGCAACTTTGATACGCCATCTGGTCGATTCATACTCATTCACATGGACGTAATAGGTCCACTACAGGTTTGTAACGACTATCGTTATTGCCTCACGGCAATTGACAGAGTGACCAGATGGCCCGAAGTCTGGCCCATGCGGACAACGACGGCAGAAGAAGTAGCAGAAACTTTCACCAGGGAATGGATCGCGCGTTACGGGGTACCTTCAGTACTTACAACAGATCGTGGTGCGCAATTTGAGTCCGACCTGTTCCGTCGACTTTTACAAAACTTCGCCACCAAACGGATACGTACCACCGCTTACCATCCAGCCGCAAATGGCATGATCGAGCGTGTATCGTGTATGAATGAAATCGGCTTTTAAAGAGGACCTTAAAGCAACCGCTGCCGAAATGCTTTACGGCGAAACCTTGCGCCTCCCTGGTGAATTGTTGGTACGTGCACCCGGACCTGACAAAATCAAAGACACGACTGATCTAGTTGTCCGACTACGCCGTCACATGTCGAACATTCGACCTGTCGGCGCGTCTCGTCACACACAACCCACGTCTTTTATCTTTAAGGACCTGTCTCACGCCTCCCACGTATTTTTACGGGACGACTCTGTTCGTCGTCCTTTACAGGCCCCATACACGGGACCGTATTCAGTTCTTAATCGTTCTGACGATGGTTAAACCATTAATATCGATTTTAAGGGAAAATCAATCGTAGTAAGTGTCGACAGAGTCAAACCTGCTTTTATTGAGCAACCACTACTACTCCGGATTTGACACACCAACACCAACCTCCTGCAACTGATACATCACCTCAACCAGAATTTTCTCCAGTGACTAAGAAATCCCCTGGATTTTCAGTCTCTGCAAACCCATACGTCACTCGTTCCGGTAGGCGTATAAAGTTTAAGATTTGGTGATTTTACCTTTCTCCGAGGGGGGTGGTGTGGCCGGCAAAGCCGTTAAAATAACGCGGCTTGCGCGCCTTTTTTGGTCTGTGTTTTTCTCTTCACTTTGACAGATATGGTCTCCACTTGAACTTTTGTGAATTATAATTAAGTTGTCGATTAAAAATAATATAAAAGTCAGTCTTTTATTCATAAGTGCTAACCGAAACCTACAACCCGTACTCTGCAGGGGGACATATAAAATGGTTGATAATGTGTAGTCAAAATACGCCGAAACGTCTATATGGGGTCTCACTTCGCCTTAATAAGGTATTATGACTGTGATTTCTATCTATATAGCTCATCTATGCTTGCTCTACTGAAATGTTATTAGACACTCAGTCACATCTGCAGGCAGATAAATCGAAGTCGAACCAACCCCTGAATCCATTATGCCGTACGACAACGGTATACAATTTCTTTTTTCTATGAAAGCCTCCGGGCGCCAGTAATGGAGAAAGTTTTTCCTTCTCGTAATTGTAAGGGTGATGCGAGGTCATAAATAACCGCGCCAGACCTTCTGATTGAACTTGCTAATGAATGAAGGACAAGAAATTCGGAAATCGAAACGTAAATGGAGATTTCGCCCGAAAAGGGCGTGTGTAGTTCCCGTGAAAAATGGTCAAAGTTTTTACGCGTACCGGTTATGCCAAATTGGTAATTTTACTTTTGGACCGTACCTACGAATGGTAGACATATAGGTTGATATTTTTATCAAAAATAATTTAATGCGTTGAAGGAAAATGTTTGACTAATTACTATAGTGGTTATACATAAAGATAAGTATTCAAATGCCATTAACAAATTTTTACATATAAACAAGAACTTAAAAGTGGATATCAAAGACAAGGACAGATTTATAAAATCACAAATCATGCAAAACATCACTAAAAAGACAAATAATAAAGAACAAAAAATAACAACTTTGAACTAATCACAAAGTAGTATCATCGCCAGTCGCGTGATATGTCAAAATAACGTTAAGTCATTTCCAGCCCAAAATTAATGAGCCTCATAAACGCACCAATGTTCTGTATTGTAAACTGTGCTGTAATGTAAAAGTACCTGTTCTTAAACTAAAAGTGATGAAATGAACTCTAAAGCACTACCCAGATCAGATGCCTCCTTTTCTAATGTCCACAGTCCTAACCGCTGGGCCATCGGCCATCGAGATTGTCAAATCTATTACTTAGAGATTGGATTGTAACGATAAAGCAATGTGGTCACACTACAGTTTTACATAATCTAATAGCTAATAACTGGATTGTTGATTATGTAAAACAGTTATATATATATAATACGATTATTTGTATCGATTGCTTTGAAAATAATAAACAATT